TTGGAAAACTGCGCTCAATTCTGGTCTCCCTACTATAGGAAAGATGCTGTGATTCTTGAAAGAGTTCAGAAAGGATTTACAAGGATGTTGCCAGGATTGAAGGGATTGGGCTATATGAGAAAGGCTGGATAGGTTGGAGCTATAAAGGGATCGGAGGGACAATTTTTTTCATGCAGGAGGTGGTGCATGTATGGAATGAGCTCGCAAATGAAACTAGATTAATTTAGAATATCCAATCAGCATGGACAAGTTGTACCGAAGGGTCTGTTTCCATGCTGTACATCTCTATCTGATTCTATCTGCCACCATTTTTCCCACTCCTATAATCAATAGCATGCTCCCATCCACACTACTATATCACCAAACATTGTCATGTGCAAACTCAGATATATGGTTCTCTATTGCGTTGCCAAAGTCATTAGTAAATAACAACAATTTGAGATGTCAGCAGACTGCGCTAGTTACTTCCTTTCAATTCTAGTAAATACCCACCAGAATCTGTCTTCTAGCACTTAATCAATCTCCTAGATCATCTCCATACTTACAATGGCCTCAAAAAGGAGATGATGCGTTAGAAATTACTCTTGATATCCTACACTTTTGCACCTCTCCCACTATTACATATTGTCTTCTGCCAAACTTCAGGCTAAGGCTGGTCAATGTCAAAAGTGAAGAAATAACTTGCAGTTGCAGAAATAAAAAAAAGTAATCTTTGCGAAAATGGCTGCAGATATCTGATGTGAAATTAAATGTTGATTCAATCAAATACTGATTGAGTCTACATTTCAGAAAACTTGGGTACTTAAAGCTACTCTCTTTCATATTTGCATTTAATGGAATTCTTTGCTGTCATGATCAAAAGAAAAGTAGTTTTAATGTAATTTTTAACATTTAGAGTATGAATAAATGGTTGCTGTAGTGCAGCTTTAATTCAATAATCTTCTTTTCTCATGCTAGGTTTAGTAATGCGCCAAGCACAGTTGCCCCATTTTATGTGGTACCTGAAGGCAGAACTAAACTGAAAGTGGAGAGCAATTGACAATTGCCTCAGCTTTCCTTGTCTGAAGATGGTTTGCTTCCCACAAGTTGGTGTTGCAACAATTTTTAAAGAATCAATTTGTTAAAGTTTATTTATGTTTGTGCACAGAAAAACAGTACAGAATGAAGACTAAAATATCTTTTATATTTGAATATGAAAATGTAGATGGGCGGTTTAGGAAGTTTGCATGCGATACAAAGATCGGTGGAGTTGTGGATAGTGTAGAAGGTTATCAAAGGATATAGCAGGATACAGATCAGTTGCAGATATGGACAGAGAAATGGCAGATGGAGTTTAATCTGGGTAGGTGTGAGGTGCTGCACTTTGGGAGATCAAATGTTCAGGAAAAGTAAACAGTTAATGACAGGACTCTGAACAACATTGATGTACAGAAGGATCTTAGGATTCGAGACCATAGCTCCCTGAAAGTGGCCACTCAAGTAGGTAGGGTGGCAAGGAAGGTGTATGGCATGCTTGCCTTTATTGGTCGAGGAATTGAGTACAAGAGTCAGGATGTTATGTTGCAGCTTTATAAGAATTTGGTTAGGCCACACTTAGAGTATTGCATTCAATTCTGGTCGCCGCATTATTGGAAGGATGTGGAGGATTTGGAGAGGGTGCAGAAGAGGTTTACCAGAATTCTGCCTGGATTAGAAGGTGTGAACTATAAGGAAAGACTAGAAAAACCCAAATTATTTTCTCTTGAGTGGCAGAGGCTGAGGAGACTCTTTAAAGAAGTGTAAAAAATTATGAGATGCATAGATATGGTTGACTGTCAGAACCTTTTTCCCAGAATCGAAATATCTGATACTAGGAGGCATGCATTTAAGGTGAGAGAAGAAAAGTTCAAAGGAGATGTGAGGGGCAAGTTTTTTACACAGAGAGTGGCAGGAGTCTGAAACGCGTTGCCATGTATGGTGGTGGAGGCAGATACGATAGGGGCATTTAAGGGACTTTTAGATAAGCACATGAATATGCAAGGAATGGGGGGAAATGGACAAAGGGCAGGCAGAAGGGATTAGTTTAATTTGGCATCATGTTCGGCACAACATCACTCCTCTGCTTTACTGTTCTATGTTCTATATAGCTAAGGTGTAGTCACATTACACAGAGATTTGCAGAAATGCCAATTTGTCACAATACAGACATTCTCTCTCTGTAATCCCAAGTATTCTTCCTTTCCAGGCCACAATCTAATCTCATCTGATTTTGAATACTCTTTGCAAATCTGCTCTCAAGTTCTCTTCTCCAAGGAAATCAATGCCAACTCATTCAATCATAGAATCACAGACTCATACAGTACAGAAGAGGTCCATTGGTCATTATCCATACTGCCAAAAATACACTACTGCCTACACTAGTTCCACTTTGTGGCACTAGGCCCATAGCCTTAAATATTATGACATTTCCAGTGTTCATCCAAGTACTTTTCCAAGTATTTTAAAGTTCTGAGCTTTCCTGCCTTAACTCCCTCCCAGGCAGTGCATTCCAGGGCCCCACCACCGTCTGGGTGAACATATATTTTCTCAAATCCTTTCGGAACCTCCTGCCTTTCACTTTAAAATTATGCCTCTTGTTATTGACCCATCAACTAAGGGGAACAGCTGCTTTCTACTCATCCTGTCCATGCCCCTCATAATCTGATATTCCTCTATTCGGTTCCCCTCGCCAACCTTCTCACTCCAAAGAAAACGACTCGAGCTTATCATAGCTGAAATGCTCCATCCCAGGCAACATCCTGGTAAATCTCCTCTGCGCCCCCTCCACTACAATCATGTTCTTCCTCTATTTTGGTGACCAGAACTGCACACAGTACTCCAGATGTGGTCTAACCAAAGTTCTGTACAGCTCCAGTGTGACCTCCTTGCTTTTGTAATCCATGCAGTGACTGATAAAGGCAAACATCCAACCTGCCTTCTTTTGTACTCTATTAAACTGTGCAGCAAATTTCAGGGATCTGTGGATAAGTACCCTAAGATTCTTCTGTTTCTCTGAGCTTCCTAGTATCCTGCCATTCATTAAGTGCTCCCTTATCTTGTTCCTTCTTCCAAATTGCATCCCCTTACACTATTCGGGGTTTGGTACTCTTGCCTTTTATTGGCCAGTGCATTGAGTATAGGAGTTGGGAGGTCATGTTGTGATTGTAGAAGACATCAGTTAGGTCACTTTTGGAATACCGTGTGCAATTCTGTTCTCCTTGCCAAAGGAAGGATGTTGTTAAACATGAAAGGGTTCAGGAAAGACTTACAAGAATGTTGCCAGGGTTGGAGGGTTTGAGCAAGAGGGAGAGGCTGAATAGACTGGGGCTATTTTCCCTGGAGGGTTGGAAGCTGAGGGGTGGCCTTAGAGAGATTTATAAAGTCATGAAGGGCATGGATAGGGTGAATAGTCAAGGTCTTTTCCCTGGGGTAGGGATTCCAAAACTAGAGGGCATTGGTTTAAGGTGAAAGGGGAAAGATTCAAAAGGGACCTACGGGGCAACTTTTTCACACAGAGGATGGTGTGTGTACAGAATAAGCTGCCAGAGGAAGTGGTGGAGGCTGGAACAATTATAACATTTAAAAGGCATTGGATGGGTATATGAATAGGAAGGATTTAGTGGGATATGGTCCAAATGCTGGCAAATGGGACTAGATTAATTTAGGATATCTGGTCAGCGTAGATAAGTTGACCAAAGGGTCTTTTTTTCTGTGCTGTACATTTCTACATGACTCTAAATCATATCTGCCATTGAACTGCCCATCTGACCAATCCATTTATAGCTTCCTGTAAACTAACATCTTCCTCCTCATAGTCAATCACTCGGCCAATCATTGCATCATTCACAACTTACTTATTACCCTTCCCACATTCTCATCTACTTCATTTGACTTCAACCTGCTCTAAAAACACTGTTGAATTTTTAACAGCTGTGAAAACTGCACGATATCCATTAAAACAATGTTCAAAACTTTAAAATGTCAATGATATCCTGAGTCATCCAAGCCACAACATTCCTTTGCTGGCCAGGGGCTGCTCACGTGTAAAATCACAAGTTACCCAACCCTCAGCCATTGTCTTGTGCTGGCTGGAGCCAATTTGAACCTGGTCAGCTCAGAGGAATGACATAGGGTATGAATCCTTATTTGGTGGAAGTGTAATGAGGTAATGCTAACAGTGTCCTTGGGGGTGAGCCTATAATGAAAAGACACAGGCTTGCCAGATGAACCAGAACCAATGAGAAGCAAGACTCCAGAGTTTGGGAAGATAAAGAAAAAGGATAAAAATGATGTATTTCGGGTATGCCAGCAGTGAAAACTCTGGAGATCAACCTTCTCCGAAGTGGGGGACCTTGCGTTGGAAGCTTAGACAGTACACCAAGGAACTGAGGAATCAGCTGGCCAGCGTGAACCCCTGTTCTCGGGTATTAGCCTTTATAATCTGTTACTGTTCAGGTAGTGTCAGAGAAACCCAGTGGGTGTGTGTATAGATTTTAATCTTGTATGAATTGCATGCCTGCTGTTAAGCTTTTCTTAACCAGTGTGAATTGTATGTCTGTTCTAACTAAACGAATAAAGTTAGTTGTTGGTTGATACAGATTTGACTCTTGTCCTGTTTGTGCCGAGCTCATAACTGTTGCCAAGGGTAGTAACTGGGTAACATTCTTTGTTGTGTAGTTGCAAACTGTACAACAGTTTTTGAACCATATTGTTTCCAAACAAACAGATTCGCAAATTGGGGCAAAAACACTGCTTCTTCCCACCACTAGCTCTTTGTGCCAGTGTTAACACTCTGTAACAGCTCTTTACTTAATTTCATTCACTTGAATTTGCCCATGCCCTTTTAAATGTTCCTTTTTCAAAAACTTGTCCATCTCTCAGTTGAAAGATTCTGCCATTGCTTTTGATAGAACATTCCAAGTTCTAATAGACCTCTGCATAACTAAAATGGCCTTAATATCTTTGAGTGCCAAATTAAAATTTTTGCAGAGTCTACCTCCTACTTGGCTGGCTGCCCAACGGAAATATCTTGTAGCTGATTTGCCTTATTCAAAACCCTTTGGTTTAAACCTTTCAGTCAAATCTTCCCTTAACCTTTACGTTCTAATTTTTAAAATTATCCCGATTACCTCTCATGACTAAGGACATCCCTGATATTATCTCAGTGATCTTTTCTGCACTTGATTTATTTCCTAAATCTGCCCAAAGCTGGAAATAGTATGTGAACTGAACACATAATTTATCTTGGTTTGAACTCTTTCTGGTTTTGTGCATTATATTGTGATTTACAAACCCTAGAACTTGTATTCCTGTCCTACACAAATGAAAGCCATGGTCTATTATTGAGTGGAATTCATATCTCCCCGTTTTGGCACAAAGGTCAACCCTGTATCCAGTTTGCAGGTAAAAACTAATTTCTCTTAACTTGTTTTATTCCATCATGGGATGTGGTCATCGCTGGCTGGGTCAGCATTAATTGACCATCTCTAGATACCCTTGAGAAAGTGGCGGTGAGTTACCTTACTGAACTGCTGCAGTGCATGCGCTGAATGGTTGTGAGAATGGCACGTGATAAGTTGGGGCGGAAATCGGCCTTGAGACACATGAATTAACGAGACAAATTTGTTAAGATACGGCAAGACAACTCATTAGGCCTTGTGGTGGCAAACCCCCACCCCTCCCATAAAACTGGACGCCACTCAGAATTAGCCCTAATAACCATAAGATTCAGCCTACTATTCCTTATAAATTACTCAGGACAGGAATAAGATCGGTGCGAATGGCTGAAAGGGGCAGTTGCTTAAGATTTCATCTGAAAGACAACGCCCTCAGTGAAACAGCATTCCCTCAACACTGCACAGGAGTCTTGATTTTAGATTTGAGCCTGGAACGTGAGACTCAGAGGTCAAAAATGAAGGTGAGTAATCCTAGTGAAAACAAGCTTGTCAAGCCTAAAATTCATCTCCAATGCAAAATGTGCAGAAGCCTGTCTTGCTCTGGACCAATGTTTGCAATACGTGACCATTCATTAGGAAATGTGCACCACTATTACTATCAACATGAGTCATTGTTACAACACAAACAAAATCAACTTGGAGCCTGTACTTCATAGCAACATCCAGACTTATATTTTTGTAATTTTAACTGTTTTAGTTGGATATTTATCACTTGTTAAACTCACAATCAAGTTCAGGGAACATCAATTCTTTCTTACTTCAATTTTCTCTTCAAGTAAAACTATTCTGAGGTGCAAAAATCATGTTCATCCCTTTTCCAACCAATACATTTCTGTTAAAATAAAATTTATTGCATAGCAGGCACTTTAAATAAAACAGTCCTTGCCTACATCTCTGGGCCCAATTTCCACACCGACAGAAATGCAAAAACCTTTCTGTGTTATCTCCATTGTGTTCAATTCACACTAATGTATATATGGATTAGGTGAATGAGTGATTATTTAGTCCTTGAGGCCTTTGCTATTACATTAAATTTCCGCTTGACTATTTCCTCTTATTTGGTCAGATTTGGTGGCACGGACAGGAGGTTGCTGTGTCAGGGTCCAATGGATGAAAGGGACGGGGAGTATTTGTGGTAAGTTGGATGTTCGGTTTAATAGTTACCTGGAAGTTGGATTTGATTTCCAATTGCCTATCTTTTCCTGGGTAACTCTTTACTTAACTGCTGCAGAACCCTCCAGATTCTCCGATTTAAATCGATACTTTCGGAGGGTCCCAGGTATAGAGGAATCTCCAATTGGAATCTCACAATTCTCTTGGAGTCTGCTGAGTCAGGGATTCCACATGGTCCCGACACGCAATTCCCTCTATGCTGCAGAAATGGCTGTCTAACCATCAGAAAATCTGGGCCAAAATCTGTACTGAATGCCAGAATTATTCTTGTGATTTGCATCACTATGTACTGCTTCATTTGTGGTGAATTAAAAAGTTTGCATTTCAGGCAATATCTTCCGGGAGAGAATGCAATCAAAAACTAAGGACCCACAAAGAATAAAGAATAGATCAAGATAGCATCAGATATTAAATAATTATTTAGCTATAGATCATTGTCTGACCACATTATAGAAATTTCAGCAACTCTCTATTGCCACCTAGCGTATAGAAGTGAGACATTTCTGCCCATCTATTCAGGCCTTACAAAGACCCCATCTCAAAAGGTGAAGATGGTGCGTTTAAACCATAAAAGCAGGCACACACATACACTGCTAATGCTGTTACTGGGGAGAAATCCCTCATAGACCCATCAGGATTTTGAAACAGCACCTCAGGAGATGGGGTGGTAATTTAGCTAAAGACTTTGGAGTGGTGCAAAAGATTCACCACCCAAACAGACAATCTTTAAATGATAATTTGACTCTCTTGGTTCAACGATCAGACATGGTATTTGTGGGCCTTACATATATGCCCATATACAACAAGGATGCCTGGTTCATGAGCGGCGTATGTGACCCAGGATTCCACCGGACATAACACTAAAGGTCTTAGTGGGCTGGAGAGACACAAATGGTCAAAGATTCAACCCCATTGCCATCAATGCTTCTCTTTGAAGCAAAGAACAGACGGAAACCTATTGACAACTACTTTCACTTAACGTTCACTGACTTCCAGGCCCAATATTCACTCATTTTCACTGCATGATAGACTGGAATTTGTATTTTCTGTTGCAGTGTGTTTTGTTCCTTGTGGCTCTGTTTTGTTCACAACACCTTACATAGGTTTGAAAAGTTTAAAATGAAATTGCCACATTAATCATCCAGTGCAGACAATCTTGACTCCACCGTTATCCACCTGCCAAGCTGTATAATGTATTAACTTCAAGCATAATATGTGTTTTTATTATTTTAAACGAAATGTAATCACAATGGGATTTTTTCTGAAGGGTCCCAACCCGAAACGTCAACTTTCCTGCTCCTCCTGTGTTGCTTGGCCTGCTGTGTTCCTCCAGCTCCACACTGTGTTATCTCCATTGTCAAAATGTTATCGTTTAAATATGCACAAAGATAGTGCAAAAAAAACATGCTATTTGGATTGCAATTATTGCAAATAAGAGAGTGAAATACTTGTAAAAAGTGCCATCACAAAAAGGTCACTATTTCTACCAGGGAGTCACCATTTACGTAACACTGAGAATGTTCGACCTGTCTATTTGGAGCATGCTACTACCACCTGGTGGCAACTCTCAGTATAACAGCTGCAGAAAACCGGAGGTCGATCGTACAAAAGTAAAATCAATAAATAAACCGAAAATAAAGGAACAACTTTCAAGCTTTTAACTGTGTTTTTTATATTAAAAGTCATTCATTATTTGCCTTTATTTAGCTTCACCTGACTGTTAGGACGCATACACATTGTGACATAAAAATTGAAATTTCAAAATGTACAGGTACACGTGGAAATCCTCTGGCAATCAGTTAAATTAACCAAGGCATAAAAATACTTGTACGATCTTGAATTAATTAGTCAAATATCAGGCATGCTCCATTCACTTTTCTACTTTTTGATTTCAGTACATTGAAAAGAAGAAGTTGATGCATCTATGATTTCCCAACAGCTTCTGGGTCAAAACCATACGTTTTCAGACTGTTACCCATCAGTATTATCACTATGTGCAGTTGTTGGAAGCTGCGCATATGTGGATCTCGCGTGAAAATAAGGTTGCATCCAGCTCTGATGCCTGCTATGGGGCAATGACCTCTTATGGCTTGTACACGGAAAATAATTGCTGGGAGTTTAACTAAAAGGAGACGTGTTCAGTACAGTTTACTCCAGTAAGTTAAAAATGCCTCAGACCTAATAAGAGGGCATGCTACACGTGCAATTGTGAGGGTCTTTAAGTCAGTTACACTGAACAGTCCAATGCACTTACATTTAAATCCAAAATAAAATTTGCATTAATTATGTCATTAAATTTACATTTGAAAATACTTAACAAACGACAGACTTTTTTTTACTCATGCAGAAACACACTGTTTATAAGATGAGATGGGTTTGAACTCGAGAATATGCACAATTATCCACACTCAATTTCATACGTAAGCCTGCAAATCAAAATATTCACTTCAAACTCACAAAAAAAATTCCAGAAGGGCAAAGAAAAGATTGACACATCATTAACAACTGTCTCCTCTGAAGACAAAGTATGTTTGTCCCTAACCCAGTACCTTTTCACTGAGAGAACTGAATCTCTTCAGTGCAAGGTCATAACGAAAGAATCAATGACGTCATTAGTCATGTTTAAACTCCCAAACATCTTTAAAGTTCTGCTGGGGTTTCAACAATTCTATATTCATTTCTAACTGCATTGCAGCCTGGTTCTTAATCATACTTGTTACAAATATTTGATCTTCATAGGCACTGTTATCCAGACTGTATTTTTTCTGTGATGCCAATTGTCTCCCAAATACAATTCTCAAGAATACATACTCCTCTCAGTTGCATGTTTTTCATAACCTCTTATTTGTTGCTGTAAACGAAGTAGGTTGCACTAGTAACTGTTTCCTCCAAATTATTGAATAAAATTTCCACACATGTTCCAATGACTGTCACATTTCTCGGGTTCTGAATAGGAGATGAATCCTCCCGATCCTGCTCCGGTGAGCTTGAGCCAAGAGCAGGAGGGAATTTTGGGTTAAATGTGACCTGCCTTCAGGTGTTCAGAATGGGGTAGAGGTAAAATAACAGACTCCCGTCTTGCCCCTCACTGTCAACATTTTTGCTTAGTCAGGCTGCAAGATGGATTGATTGTCCCCTCTAAGGAGACAGCTAGTCAATATGCTGAAGGGAAACAAGAGTTTGCCAGTAAATGCTGGCCCAACCAGCAACACCAACATCCTGTAACAGAGACATTTTAAAAACAGAATCAGCCATCATCTGGAGCTGCTGACATGTGAAATGCACCCCACCTGCATGGACAGGATACCTGGGTGGCTCTCAGAGCTAGAGTCTCCGTAAAGAGAAGGTCTCAGATACAAAAGACAGCTCCTGGTGCCCTCACAATAGTTATTTATCCAAGGGAGATTCCATACCAAGGTGCTCTTGAAATCTCCAATTTGTTTCAAAAGCTGCCATCTCCCTCACTCGAGTTGCTAAGGGTCTAATGGTGTTGACCTTCTGAAGGGGTAGAGTGCAGGGTTAGGATGTGTGTTTGGACCGAAGCTCTCAGTAAAATTCTATCCTTCGATAAGAGTGAGGCCCCTGCTCTGATGGATTCCCACCTTTGGACAGTTTTGTCTGAGACTGGTCATGATATGTAGCTAATTTAAACAATATATTGGCCAGTTGTGGGCTGATTGGGGATATCACTGGCATCTTCCTGGTTACCAGATGGATCCCTCAGACCCTTCCCCCTCACTGTTCTCCCCGCTCTTATCACCTTGCCCCCAACTCTTTCCTGCTGTAAGACCCCACAGGTGATTGGTCAGGGGCAGGTTCTTTCAGTTCCTTACCCAGGAACCAGAGGCCTACACTTCACAGGGCATCTTGCAGCTGTGGCCATAGTTTAATTTGAAAAGTAACTTTCCTGAGGACGCCTCAAGATGGTACCAGCCTCACGGTGCCCATCCTGCTGTGGTTACACTCACCTCTGCTGCTGGGGCTGCCATCTTTCCAAGGTGCAGGCCTTCTGATTGGGACAGAGCAGAGATAGTTGAGAGGTGCTTGAGATCACGAGGGACATGGACAGAGTGGATAGAAATCAGCTGCTGTCCTTAGTTGAAGGCTTTATGACAAGGGGGCATAATTTTAAAAGTGAAAGGCTTACAGGGGATTTGAGGAATTTATTTCCCACCCAGAAGGTGGTGGGAGTGTGGAATGCACTGCCTGGGAGAGTAGTTGAGGCAGGAAACCTCACAACCTTTAAAAAGGACTTGGTTGAGCATTAAAAGTGTCATAAAATTCAATGCTCTGTGCCTAGTGCTGAAAGGTGTATCTACTGTAGATTTAGTGTAGTTTTGGCAGTGCAGACTTGATGGTCTGAAAAGCTCCTTGTGAACTGCATGATTCTATGATCTAGGGAGGCCGAGAAGGAGGCTGCTGTCCATCACATCACCCTACGGGCACATTGTTGGCTTGTGCAGATTAGACACCTGTAAATGATCCCATCCCCTGCAATAATTTTTAAAGAGCACTCAATACTACGCTAAGAATGCAGAATAGGAGACCGACAGGTTTAGCAGTAGAATGCAAACATTTATGGTGACACCGTGTATTGCAGTTGGTGTGAAGATACAATTCAATTCTGAGCTTTCAGAGGTTCTGATCCATCTTACTATCAAACTGGAAATCCTACACCCCAGAGGACAGCTAAATACTGCCCTCCTGAGGACACTGGTGTAAACAATTCTGTTTCACACCAACTTGAAAAAGCCTCTATACATACACTTTTTCAAACACAGATTGAAAAGTCTGCTAAAAAAAAGACTCCTGAGCTTTGTTGTGTGTTGAGGTTATCAGTGGAGGCAATCACACCATTTTACAGAGATATAGGAACTGACATTGATCGTATTTCTCTGAGAACTCCATGTGCTGTATAATAAGATACATTGCCCCAGCACTGACGATCATGTAGGAGTGAACAATCTGAATCCTCTCCTTTTTTCTTTCACGGGATGGTCACCAGCAAGATCAGCATTTTCTGTGCATCTCTAATTGCCTAATTGCTAGTAAATTTAAGCATTAAGCAGACTGTTGTCAGACTAGAGTCACATATAGACCAGACCAAATAAAGGATGACAGATTAGTGAACTGGATGGCTGTTTAGAACAATCACTGATAGCTGTCACATTGACTGAAATGTGCTGTTATTTATATTAAGATTTACTGATTGAATTTAAATTTTACCACCTGCCATGTTGGGAATTTGAATCCATGTTCCCAGATCACTGGCCTGGGCCTCTGGATTGTTTATCCTGAAGCATTATCACAAAACCAACATCTTTGGGCATTCATCAACATGTGTGAATCACAGTACATCATTCTTTTTGAATAATATGAAATTATAGTGAACTTTTTTTACGTAAATGAGCAGAGTGAAAATACAACTAAGTCATGCAAAGCATCTATAAAGTACAGGATCGGCCTCCGCTGGAGTACTGGGCATTACACTTTGAGGATATATGTCATGGCTTTGGAAAGGGTGCAGAAGAAATTCATCAGCAAAGTAGCAAGTGAGACAACAAGGTGCAGGGCTGGACGAACACAGCAGGCCAAGCAGCATCATAGGAGCAGAGAGGCTGACGTTTCGGGCCTAGACCCTTCATCAGAAAATGAAGAGAGACTCAAAGAGGCTGAGTTATTTTCCCTAGAGGGAGAGATTAAGAAAAGATTTGTTTGTGATGCAAAGCTACTGCCCTGATACAGAGGTAACTGGAGCTGAAAACCTATTTGATTTCCAGCTGCAGCCTGTTCACTTTATTCTAATGAGATCGATCCCTCAAGATGGGACTGGCTCAACTTGTGGAAATTGGCAGTGGTGGCAGAGGAACAGCAAATTACAGGCCTAACCATAAAGCCTCTGTCATATATTGGTGAGGGGGCAAGTCATTGGTATCTTATTAACCTGCTTTCAGAATTGTGTTAGAGCAGAAGGGAGGCTTTATGACATGCTGTGAGTTTGCACAACCAGCCTGCAGCTACACAGCTATTTGCGAAATAGCTCCAAGGCAAAACAAGGAAGAATAACTTTATTTCATGCACAAGGTCACTAGTGTGTCTTTGAGGAATTAGGCATCACTTCAAGGAATTTCTTACTGTAGGATTTGACAGAATGTTCATCAATGAAAGCAGCAATAATAAAAGATTTTTTTGTGCACAGAAGACTTGCTGTCATATTGCTATCATCTAGCTATCTAGCTCCTGAGGTATGTCAAAAATTATACTACTTTAAACCTCAGCTAAATGTCCCTCTATTTTATACATGTTTCAGGCATCTTGCAAACAGAACATGTGCCAAGAATTAGAATCTCATCAAATTTAAAATGTCAAACACACAAAAAACAGTTTTGGCAATAGAATTATTGGTTGTGTCCAACAGTCAGAAACAATTTAATCAGGGTTTGAGTCCAATTACTATTCTTTGGAGCTGAATGGGACTGGAAAATGATCATCAGCTTTGCTGTTTAGACACTAAACCGGGCAGTCCATCAGGGAGTCAGCTGTCATCAGTAAAGGGGCATCCATGTGGCTGTATTGCACAATGTTCTGACAATCTCACATCTTCATGTGTCAGCAGCAAACACACTGAATGGGCATCAAACGGCCATCAATGGCCACATCTCAAAGTCTAAGGGAATACTCCTTAATCAAGTCAAGGAATGAGTTCTGTTATCAGTGCAGGAGGTCCGAAGACAAGGCATTGACACAGTCCGATCTATGTCCAGGACCCAGACACGGTCTGCTAACTGCTTGGGACAATAAAGGCCAGGGATTCTTAGCACTCCTGTCCAGGAAGTGGGCCATGGGCAGCCCTGAGGATCCAGTGCACACTGTCAGGGTATTCATGCTAAGTCAGTCGGAGGAGCTGCACAGAGATCAGTCAAGGGTTTAGTCACTCAGCGTTTGGGGCTGTCTGAAGTTGGCCAATGTGCATCCTGGAGACCGGCTCAATGAAAATCCAGGGTGGTTATCATGGGACACTTGGGAAGTTGAGGAACTCATTTTCGGGGTTGGAGGCAGCAAACTGGGATTCAGAGGGGACCAAGACTGTGAAGGGGGAAATTTGAGCCATAAAAGTGAGGGGAGGGGACTGTTCATTGGGGGGACATGGGGTACAGGAGGGAGAGGGTTTATTGACTGTCACAACCAACATGGCCTCGACAGGGGGTCCGTGCAGCATGGTGTGAGCATGACTATACTGTAGAAGTGGGGGTCAGGGGATAATGTTGAGAACAGAAGATGTAATTCCAAATGGTGTGTGGGAACACAGGAACCAAAGGACATAAGACATAGGAGCAGGAGTAGGCCATTCAGCCCCTCAAACCTGCCATACTTTCAACAAAACCATTGCTGATCTGCCTCAGGGCTCAACTCCTCTTTTGGGCCAATCATAGCCATCAACTCTCTGAAATTTCAAAAATCCACCTACCTGCTCTAGGTGGTGATCTAGGCTCCACAACTCTCTGGGGTAGGCATTGCAAACATTCACTACCCTCTGAGAGAATAAATGCCCTTATATGCAATGATATCTTTCTTGAATGATGTAGAGCAGGTAGGAAAAGTTTTCAGTACTTATACAGGACTTACAATCTCCCACTGTCTCTTTTCAACATGACTGGTGCTGCGTTCATTGGAATAAGGTCCCTGTGTTAAAGTCCCATGTAGAAGCATTCATGACCCTCTTGTCAGAGTTCTCCATGTCCCACTGTGTGGAGGACTATATTGAATCATAATCATAATATTAAGGACTTGGTCTGTTTCTTGTGTTCTCCATGTGATTTCATTGCAAGTTTAACCGTAGCAGCAGAGGTTATTGTCATTGCTACTGTAGTCTACCAAAGGCACAAAGAAACAGAGGAGAAATGCATTAGCAAGCTCAGGA